CACTTTTTTCTCTGAATGGGAAATGAGTTAACTAAGTGACTCTGCATATGCTGCATCACCTCTCTGAACATCAGTTTCTCACCGGTGACGGCATTAAGCCACTAAACAAAATGGCCTGTCATGACTAGTAAACAGAGGAATAGTGAACACGTCAACAGGTGTGCTTGGCCCAGCCTACTGACCAAGGTCACAACTGCAGCGCCGCCTGACAGGGCCCGTGTTTTTCATCACATACTCATCATTGTTTAAAAGTCTACTTCCGTCTTCATTCAAAACCGTCATAACTAAAATCATCTGCAACATCTTAAAGGGAGAGTGTGTCTGCAAACGATGAGCCTCGTACCTTTATGAAGAGCTTCATGAGAACCCTGAAGTGGACCGCGTCGGCCCCTCTGAGCACCGTCTCGAAGAGCCCGGCGAGCAGGTGCAGATAGTCCCTGCTGTCCTCCTCCAGCCGGTCAGGATCCCACCACACGTCACCTACACGGATGTGACGAGAGAGAAGATGCCTGACTTACGTGGACGTGCTGCTGGGACTTTTCACTCGAGACACAGAACACCCATGCCAGCCAGCCAGTCTTCCAGCATATCACACTCAAGATTCACCCCTCATCCTACCTTTAGGAAAAGATTTAGGAGCCTTGAGTGCATGAATAAAGTTTTTCAGTGCAAACACGAGTAACACTGAGTCCTCCACAGCGATCCTCTGGGCAGCGTTGACCTGGCGTATGTAATGTGCCCACAGCTCCACTGGTATCCCTCTGTCCATTGTCAGCTCCAAGTGCCACTCCGAGGGGATTTCCTGAGACAGCAAGGGCAGATTTAAGGGGGTTCTGAACGTGGGTTATACAGGTGAACTGCAATGGCTGTGTATGACTGGGTGACATGCAACACTGCCTGCACGCGTGCTTAGGTGGGAGGGCTAACGACTTTGATCGGTGTGTCAAGCGGTCTAACCATCGCTATTCACAGGATTCGACACGTGGAAGTTAACCACGGCTCCATTTTATGTTTTCTTACAACATCATCCCTAAAAACCAATGTTACCCACATAAATCGTGTTTATCAAATGGTACATTTACAAACAGAACGATAAGGAGTTAGATTTCCACCAGATCATTAAAGGAGCTTTTCTCATTTCACATTTTTTACTGCCAAGCTGAAGATGGCACGTGGTAAAATCTCCAAACCCGCAGATGATTCTAAACAAGTAGCAAAATGTTAAGGCGTTTACAAGTTATAATGCAAATGCTAAAAGCATGAGAAAAGGTGTAGGAAAATGACAAACGAGACTGCACAGGGGAGCGCAGAGTACTAACTTGGAAGAAAAATAATCCAAAGCCAGACTTATGTCCTTAGTGAGGAAATTCTGGGTTTAATGTGCTGCTACAGCCCAAAAGATGTTCATGACTCTCAGGAAGGGGATTAA